TGGAAAAGGTGAAAGGAGCCCTTTTTCCAGGGGTGGACACACACAGACACACACACACACACCCATCCACATACACGCGCACACACACACACACACACGAACGACACCACCCTGACCGCCCGTATTTTCGAGGGGCGGTCGTTGGTCAGGAATCTGTGCACAGCAGCGGGAGGGCTTCCCCACTGATGTGCAGAAGATGGAGCATGACTGATTTGGGAGATCCGTGGAGACCAAAGTTGACAAAAATGAGCTGCTTTTGGGTTTCAATCGATGCTTTTTTGTATATATATATATATTTGTATTTTTTATATACATATAATACCCCTTAGTTGAACAGATACATCATGTCCACCCCAATGAATCAGCTGTAGTTTGTATGCATCGGAATTGATCGGAAAGGCTGTTTCTAACGATCCGATGTTCAGGTGATTAAAAGGCCTTTCCTGGGGCATACGAGGCGCTTGGCTGGAACAGTGAAAACGCGAGGCTCTTCTTGGATTGATTCGGCCTTATGTTATATCCAGATATCACTCAACAAGAGGAGCCAAACCTGGTAGAAACTCGGTGTCCGGACTCTGGCGAGGCCTCATGGAGTTTGTCTCGGAGCCCTTCGAGGCTCCGCCATGTGGGTGCCTCTCGTGGCACCAGTGGGATAGACGATGGTAGATGTCATGTATGAATCCCAGAATGTGTTTAAGGGATTATCTACAGGAAACCATGAAACCACCCTCAAAACTGTGGATGTTCTGTTGTCCCCTTAAACCAACGCTGGGAATGAACCTCCATTTCGAAAGATGACATGCTGTCAACTGGATGTATTGTCTGCGCAAAATCCATGACCTGGGATGATCCATCGTTGTCTCGTCAATTGAAGACTCATTTCACTTGGATGGTGTGAGTCCCTGTTTTGCGGACCAACCGACCAAGCTTCAGGAAGTTGACCACTTCGATGTGAGGGTAGAACTTTGGTGAAAGGCTTGTAAAGGTGTTGAAGAAGTTTTTGAGCTTAGGGTCTGTCCAAGGGTCAAAGCACCTTTTTTTTCTCTTCAGGGGTAAAACGGCGATGAGGGCAGCCATTTTCTTCGAGCACCTCGATGACCAGGAAATCTACAGGGCGTGTTTTGGAGCGTGTGTGTTGGGGCTCCAAAACACTATGTGTCAAGCTATAATATACAAGGTATATCAAGGCTCCAACAGGAGCTTTGGGGCGTGTCTTGTATAGCTTGTTTGTGTCAAACTACCTTTTGAAAGTTGGATCCAACAGGGGCGTCTTGATGTCTTGGAAAAGGAAGGAAGTGGCCCTCATGCAGTGGAGTTTTTTTCAGTCCAGCCTTTGCAACTTCCCGCAGATGGAACTCTATCGTTCAGTCATTATTTGTGTATATAGATATAAACCATATTATATATAAACCATTATAAACCTCTTTGATCTATCATGTTCCTGATACAATCAACAATGTAAAAATAGACTGTAGCATGATGTAGCTCTTCCTTCTCACCACCAGCGCGAGATCTTCGACTTTGACTTCGCCACTCCACCGCCCGGCGGACGCCGGAAGCGCCTCACGGTCCCAATGAGTGTGGAGACGGTGGCGCATGGAGTGGCGCGGCTGGGACCGAGCATGAAGAGGAGGTCTTTGATGTCCGGGGTGGCGGTGCCACCTTCATGTCTAAACACTTCAGTCAGACTATGGACTGAATCACAAACTAACATAGACTTTGGATGAAGGTTAGACTCGACTACAGGGCCAAACTCATAACTTTGTTTTGCTTGCTTTGACCTCAGGTAGTGCAGGTTCTTCCGATTTTCCTCCACCGGTGTCGTTGTTTCATGGAGAGACCTTGGAACTCCACTTGATTCGACCGTCGCCTGCGAGACCATTTCTCCAGAGCGCAAACCCCATGCGCATGATGTATATGAAGAGGCAGCAAAGGCAGTGGCAGCTCTGAGCACCATTGCCCTGTCGCCGCTGTCGCCACTGTCGTCCTCGGTGCCCCGAGGTTTTGGTTTGATGCGCAGCTCTTTGAGGATGTGCAGCTTTCTATGGCGCCCTCGGCACCATCGTGCGAGACGTCGCTACACGGCACTGTCGTGGTGCGGGAGCACTGGCGACAGGTGGGGTGATGACGGCCGTGGGACGGCGGGACCAGGACCTCTTCAGATGCGAGTTCTCGAAATCAGATCCGAGATACTATACATTTGGAGCCTGAGTCGGTCCTTGAGTGACCTCCATTTTGGACCACCAATCATCCAAAACATTGGCTTTGCTTGTGTCGGTTTGCAATTAATAAGCCACTGTTTTGTATATAGGCAGCATCCCATTGAAATGTTTTCTGTGGACTGTTTTGGTTCTACTTTATAGTACAAGTAGCGAAGTTAAATGTTTCTCGAAGTGGTTTCTTTTCAGTCTGTTTGCTCACTTCTTATATAAGTCTCTAAAAGACATCAAATTTAAGCATATTCAATGATTGATCAGTCACCCCACCAGGTGAATGTGCCCACCCACTTGCAGGCGGTGCTGTGCTTCCGACAGCCGCTGTCACCGACAAGGCCGCTGCCACCAGGCGCCGTGGGCGACGACGGCGCTGTGAGTGAGACGTCGCCTGGAGTTGAGCTGGAACTGCACCACGATGATGATGACATTTGGGCCACTCGGTAGGACATGGACTCCTGGACATGGCATTTCGGACTGATTGACATCGCTCATCATCGAGACAAACAGGTCTGATCTTGGGTCCGTTGATCCACGTGTTTGTCGGGGTGTATGGATTTCTGGTACCCATGGTGTTCATACATTTGGTATTGAACATTGTCCCAGTCTCACCCTGCGCTTCATACATTAAATGTGTATTAACTTTGTTGTATATTTATATTATCTTTGGAACTATTTGGATTATCATTATGAAATGTCTATAATTTGGATTATAATGATTTATTATCTCCCCCTACTTGTGCACATACATCGAATTCCAAAGGCAGCATGGGTTCATAGTCCACCTGGTAGTCGATTGTGTTCATGTTCTGCGAACTGGGCCCCCTTGATCCATAGCCATAGCCATTGGCCTTCGGCGACTGGTCCAGCTCGATGAGCCAAGGTCACCGTGCCGCGCGGCACGGCGGCTGCGGTGGCGAAGTCAGCAGGGAAGCCACCCAGATGCAGGTGGGACCTGACTTGATGAGGAGCTTTTGAGGTTTGTTACGTTGGTCATATAGTGTAGACACGTGACTAATACATATTAATACACCCCATTTGGATTGAAGAGCCTCTTCATATCGTGTGTTTTTCATCAATATGTGTTTATTTTTTTTTTGGGGGGGTTGTTTGTCGTTACGTTGCTGTTACAGTATGTGATTGCGCATGTTAACCGGAACTTTTTGATGCGTCAATTGGTCGGGGGCTGCACAACCAACACAGGCTGACCCAAAGCGCTGGTGGCATTTCAATGAACCATCGATTTTGTGGCCGGTTCCCTCTTATGAGTTTGTTTCACAGAAACCACGAGTGAAATGGAAAGGCCACCATATGGAAGCTCAGCGGCTGTGTTCTTCACACTGATTCACCCGTCTGTGTGGCTTCAGCAGTCTGACCGCCATTGCTTGGTTCGTTTGTGAAAGCATCGCCTGATCCATTCCTTTTGAGTGGCCATGTCCAAAAGGATGTAGGCTAGGCGGGTTCTCGAATAGCATCAAGTCATACGTATCAAGTCACTATGTATTTGATTGTGCCCTTGTCCTTGCTGTCGATGGATGTGTCCATAGATGTCCTTTGGGCTTAATTCGATGGACCAACTTTTAGAAATGTTCATTAACCGGCTGCAGGCACATCCTACTGTCCCCAATAACTCATATCAGGGATGCACCCCAGAAGAATACACTGTCTAGTACTGTCTCCAAGTGCTCCTTTCTTTTGAGGGAAGAGACGAAGGAATATGGAAACATCTGTTTGTATAAGACCCTCTGAGGAACACATCACATGCCAGCAGAAAACCACCTGTTGGTAGAGGGAAGTCCTGCGGACATGTGGCCTGCACGTGGCCACACGCATCCAGATGTGGCCTGCACGTGGCGACCAGCCGCCGTCGCTTGGGCATGGACCACCGTCGTCAGGTGGGAACACCTCCCAATCCTGCTGACTATCGGTTTCTTGAGTGACGTGGGTGAAATATCACAGGTGTTGGTAAGTACAGACTTGGTGGGTTGTGTGATGTTGTGTGGTTGCTGGACGATGTTGCCTTTCTGCATCGAATCCGATGACGGGCAAAATGTTCCGCCAGGGTTCCACTGGGCAATTGCTTGGAAACGTTGCACGAACGGACCTTTACCTGTGCAAGTCAAGCGAGTCAAGCCATTGTGTCTATATATACAGGTCAGTCAACCCTTTCAAGTCCGGAAAGAGACGCTTTTGAACACGTGCCTGGGGCTGCTAGGGCCACGTGCTGGGTGCGAGCTGGGTGAGATTAAGAATGATACAACTGGAATCAGATGGAACCCCCCATGTTTGTAGAGGAAAATGGTCTTCCAAGGGGCCAATCCACAGAGTGTCGGGAGAGTAGTGTACAGACCGGTTCATCCCCGTGACATGTTTCATCTACATGATCAAGGTATATCCAGGTCATGCGACACCCAAATTGCAGTTCCCTGTGGACCTAGCCAGCGCATCCTAAGACTAAAACATACTAAAACTTAGACCTAGAAAGTTTGGTGTGAGAAGATGTCATTGGGGCCTACTGGACGCAAGGAAACAGCTGTCCAGAAGTCCAGGCCCTTTTGTTATTCCTGGAAGATGTTACTGTTGGATTCTCATCAAAACCCAGCCAAATGCACCATGAGGATTCATAAGCAAGTGAGAGAAATTGCAAAAACAGTGCTAAGACAAGTTGGATCAAGTTGGCGCATACCTCTGGATCGTTTTTCCCCATGGTTGGTGTCCTTCTTCATCTCAACAAACTCCATCCAGATCGGCCCTGACGGAGGCCACACTCCCTGCACCCACCGCGAACGGCATGCTGGTCTTGGGCGATGGAGCAGAGCTGCCAGTGCAGCTGCTCGGATTGGCAGCGGATTGGCGGCTGGAGTGGTGCATCTGCTCAGTACGGCCCAGTATGGTTCTCTCAGAATCAAGTCTGCCCAGAAACCACTCGGGGGGTTGGAGCATGTCACAGAATGTCACCGGATTTGGGCTATGTTTGCCTATAGAAAAGGACTTTTGATGCCCAGGGCCTCGGACGCTTTTGGCTTGAAACTGGATCTTTGGGTCGGCTGGAAAAGCCAGATCAAGTCAATACCGTAAATTCTATCTCCAAGCGACTGGTGCCCTTTGGTCGGAACCATGCACTTTTATCTCGAAAGATGATAGTTTGGGGCCACTCTGCTATGCTGAGTGCCCCATCTCGGACTCGAACCGTCCGAAGCTTGCACGTTTATCTCGAAAGATGACAGAGGAGGCTATTTGGCATTTCTTGGAAGGACTCAACAGCTTTGATCTTGCAGGTTTCCTGCTCTGGAGAGGTGAGTTTTTTGGTTCCTTACGCGAGGAGTCTCACAGATTTCCTTGCGGTGGTTTGATATATTGTTCTATTCAACCTTTGCTTGGGATGCTTGAACCCACTGACCGGTTGTCTAGTGAGCTGAAACCACTGTCGTTCGACCTGGAGTCCCTGTTGAGTTGGCCTTGGCTTCAACCAGCGGTTTGGTCACTTCCAGGTTGGCGCAGCAGGGCTACAACCCCGTGATTTCTGCCCGATGGCTCAGCCATGGGTTTTGTTTGCGCACCTGGCAAATCCTGGCAATTTTGGATGGTTTGAAATCCGAATTGGGTTATTCACATACCAGCAGATTTGGTTGGTTGGATCTACCACTAAGCCAAGCCCACCACTTTTGGTGCTTAAACAAGAGATCGTTGATCCACGGAAAAAGAAGGCAGCCTTCAAGGGTTCACCTGTGGCTTATCTCATGTCCATAGAAACCACCGCTTCAAGACCTGGACTGGAGGTGGTTGGTATAGCATGGTCGACCAGGCACTTGCCAGGCACTGACCATGGTTGACCATAGGATTGGCACTTGCCAGGTGTAGCTGACCCATATGGACAGCGGCCGTTGGCCAACCTTGCTTTCAGGGAACCTGTTCCCAGAAAGGCCCTTCAGAGTGCAATAAGAGTACTGCATGCCTTCCCACTGCAAACATCGTAAGTCAAAAGGACCAACATGTGGTCTTGGGCTAGATGCATATAGCTTCAAATGGAATCCAGGCCCTCACATATTACAAACACTTACACCATTGAGGGTCCTGAACGACCAACGGTTTCCAGATGCCAATTGTTCTTGTTTGTTGATGGCATTTCATGACTCTTGTTAGTCACCCAGTCACCCTAACAAGCACAAGGCAATGTGCATGCAGAAAGTTCACTTCGGTTTTCCAAGTCATTCATTTCGATGGACTTCTCCAAACTGATTCCTTCCAATCTCAACACTGAGAGGTGTTCAGAGGCTTCGCCCGATGACTTTGGGGCTCTAGCTGGAAAGGTTTCTGACAAATCAGTAGTCTTTCGACCGACTGCGCTGTGCTCCATCCGCTCCGCGATGATGCAGCTGGTTCGAGATCGCAAGTTGGGCGCCCAACACAACCGCGTTGAGTGGTGGAGTCTTGAAGTGCTGGAGCTGGTAACTTCAGTTGGAGCTTTTGGATCGCCAAGGACCCTGCAGATGTATGGTTGATTTGTGAGGGAATATCGTCTTCCAGACCATCCATGTGAGACAACTCAACTGCCCAACGTCGACTGAAAAACATAATGTTTTTCCTCGGCCACCTTGAAGGGTCACTAATCATATATATATATATTAATATACATATGGCTACAATGTGATTGTGCAATTCCGACAACCAACAGAGGCCTCTCCGAGCCTCCAAGATCGGTGTCTTTTGGTCGCTTAGTATTCACTCACTGTTTGGTTCCAAAAAAACGGGTAAAACCGTGTAAAACCAAGTAGCCATGGTGGTTCATGGTTTTCGCACTCATTCTGAGGAAGTCACGACTTGTTCCTCCTATTTATCAGTAACTGTTTGATTCTTCATTCGAAGAAGACCAGGTGGCCCAGGTTGGTGGCCCTGACAAGGGATGTTCTATTCATCCACTTTGAGAGTCTTAGATTGTCCCAGGCTGAAGCTTCGTGGGTCGCTGAACCTCTTTAATTGAGTGCTTCTTCTACCTGATCCCAAAAAGACTCCGAAGACCCTGGCATTGTGGATGGTTTTCCATCGATCAACAACTTGTTCGATCTCACTGAGTTGTTGCCAATAGAAGAGGTGGAGTTTGGGCGCGCAGAGCTGCAGGTTTTCATACTTTCAACCAGTGAGCCTTTATATACTGTATATGGTCCTGATAGATCATCGATATACGTAGTGACGTGCCTAAACATACTAATATTACAGTACGCTAATTATATAAAACTTTTCACGTCGCTTTCTTCTACGTGGTCGACCGGGTTCTGGCAGAGAATTTGGCTGCTGTCGGGGCCCTGACCCACGTGCAGCGCCTGTAGCTCTGGAAGAGCACCTCCCATAGGAATTCTCAACACCGGTGACACTACTACCACTAGAACTCCACCACTATACCACCTATATCCACCTATAGTTAGTTACGTTTGTTTCCGACTTGATATAACTTATACTTTTGCCACAGCTACAGACCTCATCAACCTGAGGCTTCCTAAGGAGCGCAGCTACGAGGAGCACCGAGCTTTGTGGCCCAATTTGTGGCCGCTCAAGTCTTGATCAATGGAGCACCATGGAGCACCCCAAAACCCAATGTCGCGGACTGGGAAAAGTTCAGTCTGGATGTTTCAATGACAGATACGGACAGGGGAAAACCTCAACAAACATCCTGAATCCTTGGACCCGATGACCTTCAACGTGCTGTTTTTGTTGCTTGTTTCACTTGTACTGCACCGGGAAACTTACCGTGGTTTGCCAGTGTTCCTTTGGTGGAATGGGCTACCAGACAAACTCAGTGAATTCCGATGTGCGCATAGGTGTGTTTGTGTGTGTGTGACAAAGGGCCTGACGCAATGTTTTTGCCCTTGTCCTTGTCTCTTCTTCCTTTGGATCGTTTCTACAGGCTTTTTTGGTGCAACCTGGTTGGCGTACTGCAGTTGTTTTCCGTTTACAGTAACTCGAATAAACACATCCTTCAGCAGCAGGGGCACAAGGGATCCACAGCCTACCGCGTGCAACGAAGTTACGGTTGTGGATGAGAAGGGAAGGCTGATCACCTTCCAGTGCCTGCTGAATGATTGTGATGTAAACAAGTTTGTTTCCAAAATGTTCCAAACCTTTACTTTTTCTACATGCGTGGGGCCATCATTAGGGTTTTGAGGCCCGTAGCGACAGACATTATCTTCAAGCAGCTCTTTATAGCTCCTTCCATCGTGCGTGTGTTTAACTTTTGATCCCTTTGTGGGACGATATGAAAACTGCAGTAATTGTGTTACGATGCCAGTGGTTCACCAAGAGACCAAGAGACCAGAACTACAGTCAGTTTTTCACCCCTCAGAACATCTCCATTGACATGAGCAGAGTGCATGCTGGAAAGACATGCCGAATAGACCTCACAGTCAAACCCATTATCAACCTTTGAACTCTAACTTTGCGAATAGATTCGCTTGAGTCAAACTTTATCTCTATCTATAGTTACTCTATTTGGTTTTACTGGGTTCTTTCTCGTCTCTTTTCTCTTGTCTATATTGTCTGAAGGCTTTTACGCCATAACTCAGACATGCATCATCGCACACACCAACCACATTTTGCCACCAAGCCACGTGCTTTCCCTAATTTGCCCGTTTTGGACACATCCACGACGTGGTTTGGTCGGATCCAGGAGGATACCACTGAGCCAAGCAGCGGCTCAGAGACAGGCGAGAAATACGCTGGTGTTCCAGATAGGGCTTCGGCTTCAACTACATCCGAAGCACCGGTAGTTCAGGAACCTGGAGTTGTTTGAATGATTTGAGTTTGACATCCAGGGGTCTACTGCTCCGGCAGGGGTCTCTACTGTTCGGTCTTCTCAGGGCCGTTTTGTGGTTGAATCATTGGAGTGGGTCGGCTTCTCATTTGGGACACTGGAAAATGGAGGCCTTTTCCCTCCTTCGGGACCATGTCGTAGTATATGCTAGGGGGTCGGAGCGGTCGGAGTATTTCAGTATGCACACCCCAATCTCAAACCAGTGGCAAGTATACCCTAGGGCTCCAACTACCTCCTGAGAAGATGGTTAGGGTGGGTGCCAGGGGGGTCTAACCACCAAAACTGAGGATATGGTTGGAGCCCGTTGGGATAATTAGGATAGTTTCCTACTCGGAGGCCGTTGGGGCCCGTTGTGCATCGTTTTGCCAGACCGATCCGCCAGGCTCAGAGCGTCCCAGGCCACGGCTCGCGTCCGCGTCGCTCGCGGACGCGGCGTTCGCGCGGGGTGGGTTCGTTGGTGAAGGACCGGTCGTAAAACCTGGTCTGACTGACCTCATGAAGTTCGGTGCTTGCATGAGGTCCTTGACCCAGTGAAATGATGTCCTTGGATGTTTTCTGGAAAACAACCCTGTGGGTGTGCATTTGAATAAAGGTATCGCTTGATCGCTGACTGATTGAGATGACATGACGTTCTCCATAACCATTATGTCTATTTTCATGAGCAGAGAGTTGGAGTGAGCCCCCGAGGAGTGTGAGTCAGTGAGTACTGAGTTTTTCCACTTCCAAGTTTGATGGATAAAGGGTACGGTACACGTTTTTAAACAGCCCTGCCTGAACCTTTGAAGGGTTTGGACGACCATGTTTTTCTACTACTGAGGCCGGGGCTCATGGACACAAAGGTTAACGTTGTTAGAAATCACAAATTCACAAGTCCATTTGCATCCATTTGTGGAAGACCGTTTGATTTTATATTTGTGTGCATTACATTGCCGTTGCGGATGTGTTTTGTTAGCCGAACTGTTGGCCTCATGTTTCCGCAGATGTTTTCTGCTATATACCTTGTACTCGTACTGTAATCTATTTGTCTTGCTCTAGCGACTGCACCCTCGAATCAATAGAGCCCAATGAGTGGAGCTCTTTCACTGGCTGCTCTTGACAGTCACTCTCGATGAAGGGGTAACACTCGGTAACACTTTTAGAATGGTTTCAAGGAAACAATATCAGGCCCAACTTAAAGCGCGTGTTATGATTGTTCATCCACCAATGTCAAAACCCCACATCTCGCGCCCTGGCTCAGAACCCTTGGCTGCGCAGAACCAGGGGGTCAGTTGGAAGATTTACAATATCTGCAAGTCACCGAGTTCTGCCGCTTGCAGAACCGCTTGCAGTGGAGTAGTCATGGGCCGACATTATACGAAGGCTATAGTTCAAAGACCTGGGCCGGGCAAGCGTGAAGTTGAAAGTGTCACAAACTACACTCCCTGAAATCATCATGAACGTGCGAAATAAGCTACATGCAGGTGGTTGTCCATTTCATTCCATTTCCATGTTGAGGATTCAGAGAGTATAGTTTTGGGGTTTAGGGTTTTGAAGAGCTGGTGTGGGCTATGACTGGGGGAGTAATTTTGGGGTTTGACTGGAGTCCGAGCCTTTGACCAGGTCAACATCTGCTGTTAATGGCGGAGTTTGCCTGCACCAAGAAAACCTGGATCTATAGTTATTTGTGTTGCGTGTTTCTATGGAGTTTTTGAAAGGTCTTATGAGTAGTGGATCATTTTAT